AGTTGAGTCTATTCTGTTCAACTATAAGCTATAGTTGAATAGCCAGCCTTAAAAAAAAGTAACACATCATTAAAAAAAAAGGTCAGCCTTATACAAGGTCTTGTTATTACAAAAAAATTTTTATTAACAGTAAAATCATATGAATAAATAAAACAAAAACAGTCCAAACAAGATATATCTTTATAAATAATTCAAGACCATGAAATAAAGGCATATATTATTCCATTACACTGATTAAAATTAAAACAATAAAATAAACTGACAAATTTAAGAGATAATTACACAATCTAATTCAGCAAATATTATTGAAAATTTATACACGTGCGCACACACGCACGCACGCACGCACACGCACACACACACACACACACACACACTTACATACACATTGGCACTACAGCAGGCAATAGAGAGCTAAAAAGCTAAGAGACAGATCCTTCCTCAACAATTTATAATCTAGATAGGGAGACAGGCATAAACATGCTTCAGTAACCATACACACAAACAAAGTAAGATGAAAAGAGAAATAATCTACGTAGAAATTTGTTAAAGACCAAAGAAAAACCAACCTAATAATAATTTAGACCTGTGATTTAAATAACATATTTATCATCTCTCATTTGAAAAACTGAAAGTAACACACCAGCACTTACCTTACCACTATGAGTATTGCTATCAGGATTGAGCAAATAGGATCTGCAATCATCAGATCAAAATTTTGCATCATGATGGCAGAGGCGATCACACCGACACTTCCGAGTGTATCTGCTAGAATGTGTAAAAATACACCTAGAAATAGAGCACAATCAGAATCAAAATAGCATCTTCTGATTAACTGAAAATGGAAACAGTTCTTAAAACTATTCTTGACTTTAATAAAAACTAAATACCAATTTGAAAATCAATAAGAATGTAGAGTCATTGTTTAGTAATGAAGTATAGGACATTTGGGATTTGAAATATTCTCTTTTTCAAATCAGCAAGGGTTAAAATGATCTGATGCAGAATTTATACTTGCTCTTAATATTTGGTATAATATAAATAAGGAAGTAGAGTAATAAATTGATTTTAAAATTGTGCACATTCATCTCTGGTTAAGAGTCCAGGAGTTAATAATCCATTATAAGAAAGCTGCATTAGGCCAAAAGAAAACACTGTTTATAACTACAAATATATGTAGCATGTACACACAGAGCCCTCTGCTGGTAATTAAAATTACCATTTGAGATGAATTTCTTATGGACCATAACTCTATTCATACTGGTGTGCATATTAATTATCCTAAAAATTGGGTTATCTAAAGTTACACACTAAGCTCAAACTTGATAGAAGAGAGAGTAGGAGTTTGAATATTTTAAAGTAGATGTAAATATATTTTGTTTTCAATAATTAAATATTAAATTGGTAGGATACTGGTGCTCTAACTGCCCAAGAACCTAGACATAATATTAACATTTAAGAATTGACACTTGATTGAAAACCATTTTAAAAATGTCAAGAAAAAAATTAAGTGTACATTATTTTTTAAAAAGATTTAACTAGACAAATTATTCAACATTTGGAACTTTAATAGGTAAAATTTACTGTATAGCAAAACACCGTCTCTTAAACTTCAACTATGTTGCTTAAAATAGAGCATTCTTCAATAGCATTACCTACTCTGAAAACAAATATTTAATGTGTAAAGGACATGTATCTACTTTAGAAATATTTATTTTTCTTTTTTATTATTCACTGAAAAATTAAAGGTACATCATTTATTATTTTTTAGGTGTAAAACATAAATTTACTTAAACCCAAAAACACTTTCTAATAATTTAAATATGGACTATAATTAGTCCGATCAAATCTTAATGTACTCTAGGAAAATATGCTTCCATTCACCTGCTACTGTGGAATTTTATATCAAATATTATGTTAAATGTAATTCATCCCTCAGTACCTAATATACTTTTTCATGTGTATAAATAATTGGCCTTTATAATGATTCTTCAAAAAGCTAATGGCTTTTTTTTCTGTAGTAAAAATATTATGTTTATCAGTATTTGAAGCCTATGAATATAACTGAGGCCTCACTTTGCATTATGTTTTTTTAAAAAATAATAAATTAAGCAGAAGATACAGAGATTTCCCATACACCCGCTGCCCCCACACATGCAGAGCCTCCTCCACTGTTAACATGCCCCAGGGTACACTTGCTACAAATGATGAAACAACACTGATACGTCATTATTATCCAAAGTCCACAGTTTACATTAGGGTTAGCTCTTGGTGCTGTAGATTCTTTGGGTTTGGAGGTATTACATTTTTAGCATTAAATTTTTCTTCAACATAAATACAGATTGGATATTATTCTTGGAAAAATTATTTAATAACCCTGCAAAGGCAAAGATACTATGGCATTACTATAATCATTGGATGGGTATTATTTATATTTAAGCAGCATAGTTTCTGAATATTTGAATCTTCTTATGAGAAAACAGTCCAGTTACAATTAAATTAAAAGAATATCTGCTAGTATACCTAATAGTACATACAAAAAATAAACACTAGGAAGGCTATTGTTTTAAACACAAATACTATGTTTCATATTTTTCTTAAAGGAAAATTTCAGGTAGCTTAAAACCAAGAAACCAGTTTCATAAAGCTGAGAAATATACAAATTCCTTGTCATACCTTGTAAAATCTGTCTGCTGGGTCCTGTCGTTTCTTTTAAGGATGGACCATCTGTAGAGAGTTAAGTTAAATTATTTTAAAACATGTCTTCAATTCCTGATTCAATTTTTTGTAATTCAGA